GGAGTTGTAAGTCATTTATTTCATTGAATTGGTCTGGCCACTTACAATACAAAAAAAAGGGCATTTAAATTTAAAAACCACGTTTGTAGTTCTCCGATAGAGTTGCTTGTCAATAGTACGTTCTGAGGTTGGACCGAGTGTCCAGTCGGGTTCACTTGTTTCCCTCCGGTGCTAGTCTGGGTTCTTTCCCTTCTGTTCCCCAAACTGTTACTGAGGAACGTCAAGGCCAGCGAGGAGTCCTTGCACCTCGGAGCCGGCGCCAGCCTCGGCCGCACGGGAAGGGCCTGGCGTCGAACGTCTCGAGCATCCGTGGTGCGAGGCTGCGTACCTGGCGTTACCGCGTTCGGAGCGAGGTGTAACGTGCAAAACCAGTCTCAGCTCTCAGATAATTTTTTAAAGGTACTTTTATAAGCAATTCCAGTTACTGGGAAGATTTTAAAACTTTCTTAGGGTTTTTACCGTGAATTACTTTTCTAGGAATTTTTTATAAAAGCTGCACGGAGTGTTCTGGGCCTGCAGGCGATACGTTTGCTGGAGGCCTGGGTGACTCACTCACAGCCCCTCAGAGCCGGCTGCGATGACTCTCATCACTATTTTTGTGCAATTACATCATGTTATGCGTTAGAGGTTGAGATTCAGTCGCTTTTTAACTGCTGTCTTCATGAGGCAATGACAAGTGTTTCCCTTAAATCACTGAGTATCTTTCTGTTTTAAAGACAACTGGGATTTATCCTGCCGTGACTCACGTGGTAATTCCCCTCGCGGCCAACGCGAGAGGCACGTGGGTGAGTCACACACGATCCAACAGCAGGACCCCCTAGTTAGCATCAGTGGTAGGATGGATTTTATTAGCAGCTTAAGAGAGCTTACTCACATGCAGTTGGGACTTTTATTGCCAATAAACTTATTTCTTTTAAAGAAAAAACCATGTTTCTCCTAGGGCCCGCCCCCAGGCAGTCGCTGTCGCTCTATAACGACTTGACCCATTTTCCTGGCCCCCCGCGCACCGACAGTCATTCCTGAAGTGACGTGTTTCCTTTCGCATAGTCTGTCCCTCGTGGGGCTTCGGTCCGAGGTCCAGTCTGGTATCGGAGATCGAAGGGCGCCCCATCGGAACGTCACGTGATGTTTCAGATTGCCTTTATGCACTGTGGTCTTAGGCAGTAGGATTTTCTTTAAAAATGAAAATTTACATCTCTAAAGAATATGGTAGAAGTCTAATGTGAGCGCCTACTCGTGGAGGGAAATGTTTGGATTCTCTGTACCTGGAAGTAGCCTGTCAATATATTTGGTTAAAATGTAAAAGAACAAAACCCTATGAAAACTATTTTAATTTTCAACTATTTTAATTACTATTGTGCTATTTATTGAGAATTAAAATCCAGTTTGAGTAGACGGTTCTTGTAATCTGATTCAGTTTAAAAAAACACATGAGTGAGGTACATAATATTTAAAGCATTTGTTGTTGGTAAATATTGATGCTGTCGTTGATTTCTTACGTAGGCATTTATTTGAGAATTAATATTTTAAAAAACATTTGCATGAGACATTCGTTCCTTGCCTTCCCTTTCCCTTTCCCTTGCGATTATTATAATCATTCTGATTGAGTTCTTAATTCCGACGTGTAAAACAATCAAAAAGGGAGTGCCACAATGATACCTGCGATATGAAACTACTTATTCATGGTGAATTCTAATACTTTTCTATAAAGAGGAAATTTGCGTATTAAGAAAAGAGACTCTGCTGACTTCCTGAGAGGCTGCGGACGGTTTTAACAGCGAGCCGTGACCCTCAGGGAGGGTCTGTGTGGCGACAGCACAGCGTGTCCCAGGCCGGCGGGGTTATCAGGCCAACAGCTCGGGAGGCGGCGGGCGCTCCTGTGGCAGAGGGAGCGCCCGGCACGGTGAGGACCGGTCCCCTGGGCCTGACTCATTGCCACCTGCTGTGCTGTTGGGGAGCTCGTGCAGGTGGGAGTTTGATAAATAAGAAAAAAATAAAATCTGAAGATGGAATTGGGATCAAACGTGGTGAAGAAATGGCGTAGGCCTGTGTTCTGGAGCCTCACCCCTCTCGCTGGCTGGGAGGCGGATGCAGTGAGGATGGGACGTGCTTGCCTTTCACTGTCACTTCTGGTACAGAATGAGCTCCCGGGAGAGGTGCCGAGCCTGGCGTCCTGTTGCCATTGTCCCCAAGTGCAATATAACGAGTAACCAGGCCCGGACAGTCTCCGGCATCAGTCGCTCAGTGACCCTGAGCTGATGGCGATGGATTGATGCTTGGTGAGCAGGAGGAGTGAGTCTGCGGGGGGCGCACAGAGGAAGTCACTCCGATCGGTCCCTTCTGCATGTTCCTTCCGGCTGGACACGGCTCCGCCTTGGGTCTGGAACACTTCGGAATCCCCTGACGCGATGGGGAAGCCGCGGGCGTCAGGGCGGTTTGCTGCCTGGGTAACAGGCTTCCTTAGTTTGCGTCCCCTGAGCAGCCCGTGGGCGAGGCATAAAACGCGCGTGTTCTACCCTTGTCGTTGCCAACTTGCTCTGGGTTTGTGGAGCGGGTACCGTGTCCTCCTGGTGTCCGGTGTGTGACTCGCGACCGCCCGCCCAATAAATGAGCCTCAGGTGCCACTTGTGTGTAGACCGTGTCTTCCTTCTGGGACGTTTGTTTTTTACTCACACGAACAAGCAGCTGTGACGCAGGAAAAGGGTCACGTCCGTGACACGCACACCTCGTCCATGCCTGCCTGAATTCCTAACAAAGAACATGCTACATAGACCAATAGGACTCATCGCCTCAAGCCCAGGGAAGGAGGAGAGAAATAGTCTCCCTGAGCCAGGGGGCAGTCTAACCAGGTATGCAGAGTCTGGGGAGAGAATGGGCCAGACAAAATATTGGCAGCCAGCCCGGCCGGCGTGGCTCAGGGGCTGAGCATCGACCTAGGAGCCAGGAGGTCAGGGTTCAATTCCCGGTCAGGGCACCTGCCCAGGTTGTGGGCTCGATCCCCAGTGTGGGGTGTGCAGGAGGCAGCTGATCAATGATTCTCATCGCTGATGTTTCGAATTGTTTTTATCACTCTATCCCTCTCCCTTCCTCTCTCTAAAAATCAATAAAAACATTTTAGAAGTATATTTTAAAAAGAATGGAAATCTTACCTTTAAAAATATTCATATTAGAAGGCAGACAGCTTCCGAATTTGATCAAAAGTAGAACGTACAGTTTTGGAAGCTCAGTAAACGCAAAACAGGAACTCACAGAAAGCCACACATATCCTGGCCCAGCAGCTGAGCCGCAGGTGAGAAGGGGGCACCTATGGGCATGAATGTCCTAACTCCTCATCGGGTCGCGTGGGTGGGGCTTGGGTCCTGATCTACCCCCGGGTGCCAGTCCTCTCTGCAGAGCCGGGAAACCAAAGAAACCAGTTATCTGCTCCCAACACATCTTGGTGGGACAGGCATTGGATAGCAACGACGGACGTTCAGGTTCAAAGAAGGGAAGAGTCCCTGGTCCCAAGCGGGGCAGACTCCAGTGGTGTCAAATGGTTCCTCGAGGAATTCTCTGGCTCGTGGGTCCCCATTGAGCCCTCTCCCCCAACCATGAACGGGTCCTCACCGAGTCCCCCCATGAAAGGCAGCACGTGTCCGCAGCTGAGCACTAGTACAGAGTGTGGGCCAATAGCCTTCCTGTGGTGCTTCCTGTAGACCACGACCTTTTGGTGCACATGATGACACTCAACCGACTGAGCAACTGGCCAGGGCGAACCAGCGGGCACCAGAGAACAATCATCATACGTGTGCAGATGTGTCTGGGCCCCCTGTTCTGTTCCATTAGTTGATGGGTCTGTTTCCATATCATTTCCATGCCGTTTGGACTACTTTGTATTTATGTGTGTGTGTGTGTATACTATTTATGTATATGTGTGTGTATATATGGAGGCCCAGTGCATGAATTTGAGCTCGGGCAGGGCCCCTCCCGGCCGATCCGGGCTGTCTCACCCAGTCCCAATCGGGACTGATCTGGCCGGCCAGGGGAGGGACCATGGGAGGTTGGCTGTGAGAGTGCACTGACCACCAGGGGGCAGCTCCTGCATTGAGTGCCTGCCCCCTGGTGGTCAGTGCTCATCATAGCGACCATCCCGTTGTCCGGTCGTAACGGTCACTTAGGCTTTTGCATATATAGATATATCTATGTATATAAATTTAATTTCAGAGAGGAAGGAAGAGGGAGAGAGAAACATCAATGATGAGAGAGAATCATTGTTTGGCTGCTGCCTGCACGCCCCACCCTGGGAATAGAGTGGCAGCCCAGACATGTGTCCTGACTGGGAATCCAACCGTGACCTCCTGGTTCATGGGTCAACGGCCCACCACTGAGCCACGCCTGGGGCTGTATTGTATTTTGGGGTCAGGCAGGGCATTATCTCCAGCTTTGTTCTTTTTGCTCAAGATTGCTTTGGCTACTCATGGCCTTTGTGGTTTCCTATGAATTTTAGGATTTAAAAGAAGTATTTCTGTGAACGCCACGGGAATTCTGAAAGGGGTGGCAGTGAATCTATAGAGGCTTCGGGGCGTGTGGACAGTGCAACCGCATTCACTCTTCCAGCCCACGAGGGAGGGATGGCGCTCCATCGCCTGTGCCTTCCTTGCGCTCATCATTGTTCCGTAGTTTTCAGCCTGCAGATCTGTCCCCTTTGGTTAAATGTATTCCTAAGGCTTTTCCGTTAATGCCTTTGTAAGTGGGATTTTTTCCTTAATTGCTGGTCCGTGTGGTCCATCGCTAGTGCGTAAACACACATCTTATGTGTTCATTTCGGGTCCTGTGGTAGTTCTGTGCGTTTTGGTGGTCAGGGCGCACGCCTGGGTCAGGGCGCAGGTGGCAGGGTGCCTGAGGGGCCGCAGGTGGCAGCTGGGATGGCCGGGCTCCCGCGCCCCGCCCCGCGAGCACTCGCGCGAGGAT